TATAGTGACGTGGCGACTATATAGTGACGTGGCGACTATATAGTGCCGTGGCGACTATATAGTGACGTGGCGACTATAGTGACGTGGCGACTATATAGTGACGTGGCGACTATATAGTGACGTGGCGACTATAGTGACGTGGTGACTATAGTGACATAGGCATCGCTGGGTCTTGTAAAATTGTTTTCACGCATTGCAAATAATGTAGATAAATTTAAATTGAATAATCTACAAAAATACTGTCATGTTTTCCCATTGAAATTATCAGTAATTAGGAGGTTTCTTGGGCAAGGGATCGCTTTGTATTATAGTTTTGTGAACGTAACAGTCCCAGGCCACGCTGTAGCGCCACCTTAAGCGTGCTTTTGTTTGTAATCAAATTTAGTTTTGTTGTAATTTAGTGTAGTCATCCCTGGCATCAGGTTATTATTTCTTGTTTCTGACCCTAACCCTATTATTTATCCCTACATTGCCGCCTTTAACCTGTTATCATGCACCATACCCTATTATTTTTTCCCTAATCCTATCATTTCACTGTCATTCCATCCCTAACTCTATTATTACAGCCCTAACCCTATTGAACAGTATTACTTCACCCCTAACCCTATTATCGCACCACTAACCCCAAGCATCCCTAACCCTATCATTACACCCCTAACCCTATATGTCACCCCTAACCCTATCGTCACCCCTAACACGTTTCATCCCTACAGTCGTACGGGTTGCGGTGGCGGGGTGCCCGCAACATAACCCTGACGGCGCAGGTGCTGCTGACCCTGCACGCGACCCTGCCCTCCCTGCAGGGTCCGGTCAGGGCCCGGGCCAGCAACGCTAGGGTCCGGGCCCAGCGCTACCTCGAGCGCGAGCTACTGTCCATCAGGGACCCTTATGAGGTGTCCATCGTGGCCTACGCGCTGTCCATGGTCAACAGGTGTGTCCATATGTATGGTCTTTGTCCTACATATGGTCTCTGTGGCCTCTATATGTGTCCTCCACAGCTGCTGTCCATCAGAGACCCTTATGAGGTGTCCATCGTGGCCTACGCGCTGTCCATGGTCAACAGGTGTGTCCATATGTATGGTCTTTGTCCTCCATATGGTCTCTGTGGCCTCTATATGTGTCCTCCATAGCTGCTGTCCATCAGGGACCCTTATGTGGTGTCCATCGTGGCCTACGCGCTGTCCATGGTCAACAGGTGTGTCCATATGTATGGTCTTTGTCCTCCATATGGTCTCTGTGGCCTCTATATGGCCTCTGTGGCCTCTATATGTGTCCTCCACAGCTGCTGTCCATCAAGGACCCTTATGAGGTGTCCATCGTGGCCTACGCGCTGTCCATGGTCAACAGGTGTGTCCATATGTGTCCTCCACAGCTCCATATGTATGGTCTTTGTCCTCCATATGGTCTCTATATGTGTCCTCTACAGCTGCTGTCCATCAGGGACCCTTATGAGGTGTCCATCGTGGCCTAGGATTATCTATATGATGCCAGCCTATCTTTTTATTATATATTATATTTCTTTCTCTTTTACAACATTCAAGTTACTTCTGCTTCATTCTTTGACTTGCGCCGCTAATTAGTGATCAATTCCGGAAACAAAAATGTCAGCGTCGCAAAAATAGAGAAGTTATGAAGCAAAACATGAAAATAATATTCATTAATTTTATTTGTTGGTTACGACGCAGGCACTCAAGACAATCGAAGACAATGCAGAGTTCCGTCTCGTCAATTTAGAGAACTAACCTTATTCTGACGGAATAAACTTTAATATCTGTTGGTTTTTCTAGTATGGTATGGTATTATGTGGTCTTGCTGTGTGGTATTGCACTGTACGGTACTGTATTGTATGACATTGTATTATATTGCGCTGTACCAGATATTTTTCTGGTGATACTGTGTATTGTGTCGTATTGTTTTTTATGTCATTGTATGGTGCTGTATTGTATGATGCTGTATTGTACTGTATCGTATTCTATTGTTATTGCATCTTGCTGTATGGTGCTATATTGTACTCTATTGTATTTTATTGTTTTGTACTGTATTGTATTGTTTTATTTTGTACTGTGTTGTAATGTAGTGTTATGTACTGTGTTGTATTGTATTGTTTTGTAGTGTATTGCACTGTATTGTACTGTATTTTACTGTATTGTTATTGTATGTATTGTATTGTGTCGGGCAGATGCGAGTACGACGACTGGAGACCGGGCCTGGCGTCGCTGCTGCAGCCCGTGCCCTTCCCGGACCAGTCAGGTCTGGGTGGCTGTGAGTCAGGGAGTCATTTTTTTCTGCCACTACAATTGTTCTTGGGTCTGTGACTGTGACAAATGTATTCAGCAGTTGTCTGATCATGAATGCATGTCGGTTACGCTGGTTTTGCTATTTTAAACGTGTTTCTTTTAAACTCTTCCTTTTTGAAAAAAGCTACCTTATATTCGTGTGAACTGAACTTTTAATAAACAGAAACCTGCTTTAAGAAGCAGCCAGTGAATGAACTGTGATATAAATTATTCAGATTGGTCGGCGAACTTTCGTTGATAACTTCAATATAATCTATCACGTTTGTATACATAATTTAATCATTTTATATAATGATAACATCCCACTTAGGAGGATACGTTGGTATGTGAGAGCCTTGCGGGCTGTGGTGGAGACCTTGCATGCACTAATACCTTCTGTATATCATTTTCAATAATATTGAATAATAGTGAAGAATATCCATTTACGATTCTATCCATCGCATCCATTTACGATTCTATTCCTCATATAATCATTAGAATGATATAATATATTCATTACCGTATATAAAGATATAATCATCTCCCCCTGAAGAAAAGACCCTGGTGCAGTAATATCTTCTGTATAATCCATTTACGTTTCTATACGTAATATAATAATAAAATATAATCATTATATAATGATATAATACAATCATCATATAATGATTTCCCTGTCAGGAGGAGACCCTGGTGCACTAATAACTTCTGTTTAAACCATTAACATTTCTATGCCTAATATAATCATTATATACTAATATAATATATTCATTGTATAATCTTATAATATAATCATTATATAACAATATAATCATCTCCCCCGTCAGGAGGAGACCCTGGTGGATGAAGGTGCGAGTGCTGCAGTATTACCATTATTATACCCAATATAATCATTATATTATATAATGATATAGGTACTCCAATGATCATACAATAATATAATATAATCATTATATAATCTTATAATATAATCATCATATAATCTTATTATCATCCCCCTGCAGGAGGAGACCCTGGTAGGCGAGGGCGCGAGTGCAGCAGTAGTAGAGACGCTGGCGCCGCTGCTGCAGCGCACGACGCCGTCCCCTCAGCTCTGCTCCTCCTTCAGCGCGCACTGCCGCGCCTCCCCGCGCTCTGCCCTCATCATCNGAGGCAGGGAGTCAGGTCTGGGTGGCTG